ATCAGCACAAAAAAATCATATCATTGTGAATGAGGGGGAGTGTGGAGATCCAAAGCCCATATGTAGGCATTTGGATATCCCCTATGGAAGAATCCCTTCCTTTCCCCACATCTCCTCTTCTCCTGTGTCCTCTCAGAAACGTTGGTCCCATTGTTTTCTACTTCGGATTGTTTATCCCACCTGTCTTATCTAGATAGACATGCAGAAACAACAATAAGTAAAAATAAGCACAAAAACAAGATAAAGCAAAACAAAACAAAAAACAAGAACAAAAAAAGAGAAACCCTATAAATAGTTCCAGGTCTGTTTGTTGACCTTAGGAATGATTTCTGGTCGAATCTAATGGGGTGCCACCCTCTGACCCTAGTCTATTAAAAAAAAATCATTTTATTGGGGCTCATACAACTCATCATATCTATACATATATCAACATTCGTTGCCTTCATCATTCTCAAAATATTTGCTCTCCACTTAAGCCCTTGGTATCAGGTCCTCATTTCCCCCCCTCCTTCCCCGTTCCCTCCTCTCCCATGAACCCTTAATAATTTATAAATTATTATTTTGTCATGTCTTACACTGACATCTCCCTCCACCCACTTTTCTGTTGTCCGTCTCCTAGAGAGGTTATATGTAGATCCTTATAATCTACATATTTCTACCCCACTTTTCCTCCACCCTCCAGTATTGCCACTCTCACCACTAGCCCTGAAGGAATCATCTGTCCTGGATTCCCTATGTTTCCAGTGTACAGTGTATCTGTACCAGTGTACATCCCCTAGTCTAGCCGGATTTGTAAGGTAGAATTGGTATCATGATAGTGTGTGGGGGGTGCATTTAAAAATTAGAGGAAAGTTTTGTTTCATTGTTGCTACACTGCACCCTGAATGGCTTGTCTCCTCCTGGCAACCCTTCTGTAAGGGGGTATCCCGATACCCACAGATGGGCTTTGGGTCTCCACTCCGCACTCCCCCTCATTCTCAATGATTTTTTGACCTTTGATGCCTGATCCCTGACACACAATCACACAGGTTGGTGTGCTTCTTCCACGTGGGCTTTGTTGCTTCTGAGCTAGATGGCCGCTTTGTTTATCTTCAAGCCTTTAAGACCCCAAACACTATTATATCTTTTGATAGCCAGAAACCATCATCTTTCTTCATCACATTTACTTATGCACACATTTGTCTTCGGTGATCATATCGGGAAGGTAGGCACCCACTGATTATGATTTTTTTGTTCTTTGATGCCTGATACCTGGACCCTTCTACACCTCGTGGTCACAGGCTGGTGTGCTTCTTCCATGTGGGCTTTGTTGCTTCTG